GTCAAGACAAAAGAAACACAATCTCTTTTCCTTGGGTCCTGGAAGAGAAACAGAATGAGCATGCGTGGCACATCTGTTACGAGCTTTCCGGAAACCAACACGATGAGGAGAATTGCTATGAGCCAAAACACCACTGTGTGATAGCACAATCCCTTCCACATCCGCCATAGTGGCAGCCTGCTTTCGCTTCAAAGCTGCACAGTGTGCTATCAAATGACCAGGGTTATGACAAAAAAAACAAGGCTTTTCTAGCTTGGGACCTGATACTGGAAAACTGGCACGGGGGACGTATGTGTCACGAGCTCTATGGTAAGAATCTCGCTGAGGGGATCACGCTCTTGATGAGGGGATCACGCTGAGAAAAAACGCTTTTATGTGTAAGTGCAAACTCATCTGCTAGAGTGGCAGCCTGCTGAAGGGTAGATACTTTTTGCTCATTTAAATGAACTACAGTACGCTCTGGTACACAGTTTTTAAATTCCTCCAGCATCATTAGTTCACACATTAGGGTAATGTCATCCGCTTTACAAGCTCTACACCACCTGTCAAAGAGGATTTTCTTCTCCCTCGCGAAGTCCACATAAGTCTGGCCAGAAGTTTTCTTCAGGCTGCGGAAACGCTGCCTGTAGGCCTCAGGCACAAGCTCATATGCCCTGAGAACAGCACCTTTCACATTGTCATACACAGGGGCGGACTGGGACTACAAATCAGCCCGGGACTCTCGACCGGCCCACTTCGGTACCGCCGGCCCACCTCGGTAATTTATCAAACTGGGGGGGGGGGGGGGCCCACCTCGGTGCCGCAAGTCAATACCGCGAGGACATTGTCGACGGGGGGGGGGGGGGGGTGCTAGTGACTTCTCCGAGCGGCCCACATCGTCCGAGCGGCCCGCTTCAGTACCGGCCCATCGGGATTCGTCCCGAACGTCCCGATGGCCAGTCCGCCCCTGGTCATACACCACACAATCCTCGACAGAAAGAGAGCTCTAGCTGACGCATCCTGAAAGCTGTGTCTGCATCTAACTTTCTGATCTCCAGCTCCCTCCTGAACTGAAAATCTCACTCACGCTCCTCCTTCTCCCACTTGAAACACCTTTTTTACATATTCTTGTCCTTCCCAGAGTAGTATGAAGCTGCAGCGTCGGAGGCTGCAGTCGCAGGACCGCACTCATGGGACCGCACTCTCAGGACCCTATTTGTTTTGCAACATCGCCACCTAGTGAGCAGGAGACATGAATATGAACGACAACGCAGAGAGTGTGAGTAGTGTGAAGTGCTTTTAAAGTTTTATTTGTTTAACATTAATAACAATTCCGGTGTCTTGAAATGAAGTGTGATTAGCTAACATTAACTATGATAGTCTTAAGGCAATACAAACAAACATCTGTTAGCTTATGATAGCTTCTAACAGTATTAAAGGCACTAAAAACAATTATTCGTTAGCTATAGCTTTCGGCAAAAGCATTATTAGCAAAAGCATTAGCTTCGTTAGCTTATTTGTTTAATGAAACTGTAGCGTGATTTTGGCAAGCCCAACTAGGTGTCCTACATTAATTGTTGATTTAATCACTAATTACAGTAAGAGTGAGTAATGTGAATCATGTTGTTTGTTTAAAGTTAACAACTATTCTGGTGTATTCAATTGGACAGCAATACAAGCAACACGTGCTAAATGTCATCTGTTAGCCTATGATGACTCGCTGCAAAACCAACTGTTAGCCTTTTTGTTTATTTGTTTAATGAAACCGTATGTTACGGTTATGTTATTTAGCAGAGGCTTTTATCCAAAGTGACTCACAAAAAACATAAAATAACCATAATTAACATTAGAATATCAATATAAATAGTTACATTACTTATTACATTTTTAACAGGGTAATTAGTCATCTGTAACCTACTACATTTAAATAAAGTAAACTTCCCAACTCTGATCATTAATTATAGTCAGCTAATTAATTAAACTTCAGAGGATGACAAAAGCATGTCAATATAATCTGTCTGTCCGCTACATTAAATCAGCAGTAGCCTAAGTTCTGTCTTCAGTGTAAATGCTTCTTTAATAGTCATTGTATTACTATTTGAATTCATTGTAAATAATCTTAACTGTGCTGACTGCCTGTTTACTGTTTATCAGACAGTCTCATCATTTTGACATGTTTTGTAATATTGCATGAGGTGTTTTAGTCAGTTATATTATGTCGGCCTATTCTGTAGGTTAGAATATTGTGAAGTTGATTGACTAAGAGTAAGGTCAGCTAAATTAAGGAAGGTTTTGTTCTTTTTCTGTCTGAATTGTAATTTTCTTATGACATTCTACTTCAGGTGTCGTCAACTGGAATATCTTCACAGAGGGACACAAACAGGAATTTAGGAAGGCCTACCAAATTTCCAGGTGCTTTCAGTGTGACAACCTGTATAAGGACGTTGGCACAGGCTACCGGGGAAGTGGACGGCGAGGAATATTACAGGGTTTTTACTCAGAAGAGGGCTTCCCGGGGTACTGCAGCTGGAGCTGTTTTCTGGTGGTTGAGGGAACAGCAGACCCCGCCTCACCCCAGTGAACAATCCACAGTGTGGAAATTGTGCCCAATAAATACAAATGTATTCTGCACTGAAATGCCTCTCGTCAAATTGCATGTTTATCTTTTGCAGCCTGGTGCATAAACACACTAACAGTTGTTTTTGAGTAATCTAGCACCTCTTCAAAGACACATTTGATTTGATTTATTTCGAACGTGTAATACAATAAAATATATATATATAATAATAATGAAATGAAACAAGAGAATTATGATACTGTAGAAACATAAGCAGTATCAAATTGATTCAAAGGAGTTATTTAACCCCACCCCTTCTCCCAAAAACTAAATTAACAGTTTTGTTTTGTTTTAACAAAATATACATCTAAATGTATGTCTACATACAATATACATTTACAATTATAAATAGATTATATCATTATTACTACAATATATATATTTATGTTGTATGTCAAATTTGATAAGACAAATATAAAAGACTATCTTTTTACATCTGACATACAAAATACATTTGTTATTAAAAAACAAAAACATATTAACAACAACTTGTTAATAATTTTATTTCAGTAAGAAAAACATATTTTCATGCATTTTTAGATGATTAATAACAAGCATTACAATGTCTAAAGAGACTCGCTGTGTATGAGACTCAATACTCGCTGGTTGTACTTTTGCGGTCATCCAATCCGCTAGGTGGCGTTGTTGCAAAACAACTAGGGTCCTGTGAGTGCGGTCCTGAGAGTGCGGCCCTGGGAGTGCAGCCTCCGACGCTGCAGCTTCATACTATTGCCTTCCCACGCTTTTTGTTATGGCTAAGAGCCAGGCCATGACAATAGCTATACTGTAATATAAGCAGTTTGTTTTGAAATGTGAAAGAGTTTGTATTTGCAACACACGTAACTCATAGGACTCTGCCAACAAATCATAATCTAATCATTTGATTAAATTGTGTAAAAAAAACTACTCTCAATGTTTCCCAAAACTTGATATCATGAGAATATTTTCTACTTAGGACTTGCATGAAAGATATGCTCTGTTAATGAATTTGTATTGTGAGTGTGGCTGTTCTGTGTGTGTGTGTGTGTGTGTGTGTGTGTGTGTGTGTGTGTGTGTGTGTGTGTGTGTGTGTGTCTCTTTATGATTGTGTTAGTCCTGGCAGACTGTGCGCAGACATAGCTGGCATGGATTATTCCACTTGGCCAGACTGATTTGGGCTTGGCACGACACACTGAGTATATGTGTCCCATCTCTGTCCCTCCGGGAAACTAACACTGATAATACTATCTGCAAATGGAAGACTTAATCTGCAGCCACTTATCGTGTTCGTAATATGTATCCATGTTTCTCTTCCTAAAAATAGTGCAGTGACCAAGTGAGGCAATTACTTCAAAGATTGTGTTTGATATGTGTATGAGCACTGTGATCATGAAACTTTGAAGCGACTCGTTTTCAAACCGCTTTAAATGTAATACACAGTTGATTGCTCACCGGATTCGGACAGGGTCAGGAAAATCACCGAGCAGCTGCAGATGGAGATGAGCGTGACTGTCTGTCATCCCCAGTCTCTGCTAAATCCATCCCCTTTTTCCTCTTCCTGCCCCGCTAATGACATTGAGCATTATCAGTGGCGTCGCCAGAGACAAAGAGTGTATTTAATGAGGGGATGAGCCTTTAATGTGGGGGGGGTCTGTGGATGTGCCCCCCCAGGAGAAATGTGTTAAACAAACAGCGGTTAAGCGGCTGTAGATAATGAGCTTTGCGAGTGGCAACAGGACTAAAGTACACAAATAATTTGGCTTCATTGTTGCAGCAAGATTGTTGTTAATTGTTATACATTTATATGTAAAGAAAATATGTTGCATTTGAAAATTGAAAATACTGAAAATGATTTATTTAATCATTTTAGTTTGAGGAATTGAAGAATAATGATAAGATGATGAGCCCAATACCACTACATGCGTCTCATTTACATATTTTTAACACATGGATGTGATTCTTAACATCTGCGAAGACTGTGGTATTGTTCCTTGTTTAGTTAAAGCATATTATATCTACAGTATGGCTAGTTTCCATTCGGCTGTTTCAGTTTTAGGGTGCTGGTATTGTACATGACTTACTGGGACACAGTAAATTGAACAGAGATATTTTTTATCTATTTAAAAAACCTTGAAAACATTTTGTTTTTTGCAAAACTACAAAATAATCTGTATTGAATTCACACAAGACAGAGAAATATGTTAAGTAATAGCCATAGTATTTTTTTAACAGTAAAATGCATCACTAACGCTCACTTTTTCAGCATTTAGCACTTAGGTGGCGCTTTGAGCTAAATGCTGATGTATAACCGTCACCATGTTCACCACGCTGGTATAGTGTTTTAGCATACTACATTTGTTTTTAAATACATAATCTGTGACAGTCATTAATGTAAAAAAATGTCCCTCTCTCTCCCTCTCATCAGTGTGTGTGGTGTGTCTGACGCCGTCGGGGTGCCATGGCTCTGGTACAGGCACTACCTGTGATCGTGACTGACTACCCCAATCCAGGTCTCGACATCCAGCAGTACCGGCCGCTATCATCCCACTCCCCCTCAGGCCCCTGCCCGGGCCCCTGTGGGCCCTGCAGCCCTGGGACAGCCATGGGTTCTGTCAGCAGCCTCATATCAGGCCGGACGTATCAGGAGAAACACTGCCGGGCCGCCAGCGAGTTCTCCACCAAGTCACGCCGATCCACCCCGGCCACCAGCTGCTTCCGGCTCCAGGACAACACACTCCGCAGCGGGAGCTCCCTGGAGCATCTGCTGGTTATCAGCAACCAAACGCTTCCCCAGGCCCAGGTCCTGCCTCCACCACTGCCCACCAAGAAGCAGCCCCGGCCTGGTAACTGTACTGGGACAGGGGGAGGAACGGCTGCTGGAGCAGTAGGTGGTGGCCCTAATGGGAACTCTGGGTATGTGAGCGATGAGGTGTTGGTTGGAGACTGGAACGACAACCTGGTGGTGGCAGCTGTTAGTCCCTGTAGTGACTCGGAGGACCAAAAGGACAACAGGGCTCTGAACGGCAACATTGGAGGGCCTCCTCCCAAACTCATCCCAGTGTCCGGACAGTTAGAGAAGGTGAGAGCTGCAGACTGAATAGCTAGAGCGATAAATCACCCAGGCAGATTTATTTTTTGCTTATTGCAGGTATATAGATTACACACTGTCCTCATGAAACACTTACTCAGATGTGAGCATTCCTGCAGCATGTGCTGGCTATTTATTTTCATCGATCCAGAGGGAAGCTTAATCACTGGCCTGTAAGGCTCGGATGGATCATTTGACAGCTACTCACCTTGCAGACACATCATGATCAATGTCAGAGATCGCTTACGTTCACTGACATATTTAGTGAACCCTGAGGAAGATCATTAAGAAGTAAAATGCTTACTGAACATGTGCAGAGCTCTCACCAGCCTCAACCTCCACTCTTCACCCTCCTCTTTGTTTATCTGCCCTTTAATCTTATTTTCTCTGTCCTCTACCCCCTCTCTATATCTAAGATTTTAGGAAAATCATTAAGAAAATTGCTTAATGAAGCCCATGAATATCAATTTAACCAAATTAAACTAATCAGAGCCTAGAGGGGTGACCTACCAACATATCACTGTCCCCCTCTGTAATGAGTTTTATTCAGCCGTTGCTAATTAGCACAGCTTAGCTTTATCAATCACTAATTTTGTTTGTCATAATAATGTACTTTCAGAACATGGAGAAAGTGCTGATCCGTCCTACAGCGTTCAAACCTGTCATTCCCAAGAACCGTCACTCTGTGCACTACCTGTCACCACGGCCAGCGCCCAGCAGTCTGTCGGAGAGCCAGGCCAGCCTCAACCTCCTACTGCCCCTCGGGGGGTCCAACGGCGCCGGCGGCACAAACGGCCTCGTAGTGAGCAGCACTGAAGGGAAACGCAACTCCTACAGCGGGGGTCGAAATGCTCGGAGCAGCCAGTCCTGTTCCATGTCAGATTCAGGAAGGAACTCCCTCTCCAGCCTCCCGACTCACAGCAGCACAGGCTACAGTCTGGCCCCCAGCGAGGGCTCCAGCTCGGGGTCTGGCTCGGGGGGCCAGCTGGAGCCTGTGACGGGCCTCGGCCGAACCACCTCAGGTGGAAATGGGAGCCACGGCCACACTAACTCAGACAGTGGACGCTCCTCATCCAGCAAGAGCACAGGCTCGGGGTCTCTAAGTGGGCGCGGGCAGCCCCTGTCGGACAGCGGGTCCTGTGGCCACTCGCCGCCCCCTGTGGAGGGCTATGAGGGGGTGGTGAGGGAGCTGGAGGACAAGCTGAGGGAACGAGACCTGGAGCTGCAGCAGCTCCGGGAAAACCTGGATGAGAATGAAGCTGCCATTTGCCAGGTAAGACACTCACCACAGACCAAACCTTTCTTTAACACACAATAAAAAAACATGATTAGATGTTAGTAAAAGTTCAATATTGACCTCTGAACTCTTACCCATGTCTTTTGATCTGAAAGGTGTATGAGGAGAAGCAGCATCGCTGTGAAAGAGAGATGGAGGAGCTGAGACAGAGCTGCGCCACGAAGATGAAGCAAGCCTCGCAGAAGGCCCAGAGGGCACAGCAGGTGCTACAGTTACAGGTACGCTAAGTTTATAAAAACCTTTTAAAACATTTACCCAGACAGAGATGTTCAAATTGTTACATTGCAAGTCTCTTGCTTCAGATGTGAGTCTGTAGATTCTTTCTTTGAGGGTGCATGTCTTTTTGTAGATCGACTTGTTATTCAGTTTTAAAATATGTGTCTTTGTGTGCCGTCAGGTATTTCAACTACAGCAAGAGAAAAAGAAGCTGCAGGAGGACTTCTCCTCTCTGCTGCAGGACAGAGAGACGCTGGAACGGAGGTGTGCCTCCATCCAGAGGGAGCAGACCCAGCTGGGGCCACGTCTGGAAGAGACACAGTGGGAGGTGAGTGGAGGGGTCAGGTCAGGGTGATTAAAGCCATTCAAGGTGCCCTGTGAACTGCCTTTGTTCGAATCTGGCAGGGGGTCTCTTTGACATACTAATGAAAGCATAAAACAGCCCTAAAAGTAAGGTTGAAGAGTCATTGTTGATACATGGCTTTTAAGCAATTTGTTATGTATTTTCAGCGATCTCAGCCCTGTCTCTAACTTGCCTTCTCTTGACCCTTCAGGTGTGTCAGAAGTCCGGAGAGATCTCCCTCCTGAAGCAGCAGCTGAAGGAGATCCAGTCTGAGCTCAGCCAGAAGGCCGGAGACATCGTGATGCTGAAGGCTCAGCTGAGAGAAGCCCGTTCTGAACTGCAGGCCAGCCAGGCTCGGTCCCGCGAGGCTGGGATGGCCCTGAGGACGAGATCTCTGGAGCTAGAAGTCTGTGAGAATGAACTCCAGAGGCGCAAGAGCGAAGCTGAGCTGCTGCGGGAGAAAGCAGGCCGATTGGAAGAGGAGTCAGCTCGCCTCCGGGACACTCTTTCCCTTCACAGCGGACACTCTCTTCCTGCAAATCTAAGCATGAAGGGGCATTGCATGAGCCTCTCCCTCCAGCAGGGAAGAGGAGTGACAGGGAGGGGGGGTCCCAGTCCGTCTTTGTACCGGGATGCAGAGGACACTCATGTAGTCTGGGGAGGGGAGAGTGATGAGGCGAAGGCACAGAGGCAGAACGCAGAAGCAGTGCTGGGATTCAGACAACAGGTACAAGATACTCAAATGAATGGCTAAACTATTGTGACGTCCTCCACCATCTTATTAGTGCAGTTTCTTACCTTCTTTTATTCAATTGTTCCCAGGTGGAGAGGCTAAAGGCTGAACTCATGTACGAGAGGAGGACTAATGAGGAGCAGCTGTCACGGTTTGAGGATGAGAGGAGGGTGTGGCAGGAGGAGAAGGAAAAGGTAAAAAGGAGGATATTTTCCTAATTTCTTGGGGATTTACTTTCTGTCATTTTCATTCAGTCACATGCCAAAATAGCTTATTCTGATCCAGCGTACTGTTTGACTTACTTACTGTCCTTCCCTCCGCCCAGGTAATCCGTTACCAGAAACAGCTGCAGCAGAACTACATCCAGATGTACCGTAGGAACCGGGATCTGGAGCGAGTGATGAGGGAGCTGAGTCTGGAGCTGGAGAACAGGGACATGGAGGACTATGAGGTGCACAGTGGCAGCAACGACATCCACTTTGAGGAAATCACCGCCACTGAGATCTAAAAACACACTTATACTAATATGTGCACAGGACCATGGAAACACAACTCACTAAAAAAATCAGAGGAGGTAAAACAAACATTGAACTCCAGGCCAAATACTGCACTATCTTCAAAATGGCTTCATCTGGACCACTGACCACTCGTCCCTGTCAAAAGGGACATTTCCCAAAGGTGCATTCTTACTTTCTACCAACAGAGAAGTACTCCAATAAATCCTTATAAAGTGTCCCCTCCGGCGCTTTTAACAGGTTTATTCCACTACAAAGCCAGCACAAAGACTTATTTCCCCTCTGTGGGAGCAAAAGCAGTGAAGACAGCGTTTCTTCCTCAGACCACATTCAAATCAGGGTATTAAAAATCGTCGGGCACTTGAAGCAAAAAATGTCATACAGGCACAGCAGTCAAAGTGCAGTCGCGCCTTTCTCTGTAGCACATACAGCTAAACACCCGGCCACCAGCATGCATGTTATGATGCATCATGACACTCCTATCAACACCGCCGCTGCAAGATATTAATGATGATTACATTGATTACCCTTCCACATAACAACAACAACAACAACAGCTGAACTGGTCCTCCACGAGGCTCAGCCGTGCAATTCATCTTTACAATTAATACAAGAAGAATCCTATTTTTGTTCTTGTGCTTTAATTCCTCAGCAGGTTGGTATTTTATAAAAGAATGTATGTGAGTGTTATCAATCCAGAGTAATGCAGTATAAATGGTCATCATCAAAGAATCTGCTCACCAAGGGAAACTTGGTTCAGTTGTCCTGAACTGTTGTTTTTGTTGAGCAAGACATCAGACTTCAACAAACAAGTTGGGACATTCACATAAGGACATCCTAATTTCCCAAAGCAACAAGGACACAGGAAACAAACGCTCAAAGGACGCTGCTTATGTTTCTAGACCACCAACAGTGATGCTGTTGCAAGAGTGCAAGCTCTGACATAAACATTTACATTTTACAATTATGTAGCATTGGAGATATTCTACTGATTCTCCTCCTTCTTTCTATGTCTGCCTTTGTCTCTATGTGCGCTCTCTCTCTCCATCTCTATCTCTGCTTATTACTCTATTTTTGTAACAGCTGGCAGTTGGTATCAGGAAACTAAAATTGGAGCATATTCTTCTTTGGTCGTGACGTCATTGAGAGATTTAAGGCATGCTTATTCAGAGTTTCCGTTTATTCTCCCTCGTTCCCATTAGTGCTCTTAATTTAGCTTTTGGCAGCCCAAAGCCAAATAACACTTTAAAAGTCTTCCTAGTCTCCCTTAGACTATAACGTCACTGACTGCTATATAGGTAGCAAGACTGGCATGCCTGCATGTCGTTGTTTGTTATATCAGATTTCAGAGGAAGCCGGTTCAGGTAGCGGTGAGATGTGAGTTTGCAGATGCAGTAGCTCCAGAGCTGACTGTCCTCAAGGCAGGTCGGCTTTGAAAGCCCTAAATATAAACCTTTGGCAGTATGTTCACATTTGAAGCTGTTTTCTCACAGTATATGCAGGGCTGTGGGGAACACTGCTCATGGCGGGTCTCCACGGAAAAAAAGAAGAGGGCTGAGAACTTTTATTTTACAAAGAGTATATCAAGGAATAATCATTAGATGGAAATCTATATAATGGAGATGTTGTATATTTTTTTATATATAGCACCTGAAGATATTTTGTTGTAGTACTGATTGAAGTGTGGGTTTAATAAACAAAACATAAAGACTTCTATATATATATATATACAAATATCTATCACATACAAATACTTCAAATGATGGATCAGTTATAAGTGGAGGTGGCAACATAGGAGTGCACCTAATACTGTAATGCATGAGAATATGTTTACATGATATAATCTGTGTGACATTAGCATACACTCTAAAGAACAAACTTTGCATCTGATAGAAACAGTTGGGAGCTTTTTTAAGGTTCAGTTTTGACTTGTCCCTCCATTTTGATTGATCTTTCATTTGATCCTCAGTATCAAGCAGCGTTGGGTTTCGTGCACGTCAGTAGTTTAAAAAAGCATGAGATGGGTCATTTTTAAATGACTTGATCATTAGGTTAGGGCCGCAGCAGATGCAAACCAGGATATTGTTCATTTCCATATACCTGGAAATGATATCATACCCCTTTCAGAAAGTGTGATCAGTATGATTGTCAGACTATATTTTGCATGACCTCACCACATTCACTGTGGTTTGAGAGAATGTTTAGATTATTAGTTCTGTATACATCAACATAAAGCCATGGGAAGTGACCATGAATGGAACAAGTTGGGTTTGTCCAACCCATATTCAATTTGTCAACCAGACCTAGACTGTTACACACTCACCATAAAGGCAGCAAAGATACAGATTAACAACCAACCTGACAAGTACTGTGTGCACCGTAGACTTAAATTCTTTCCTCACATCTCAGTTTCTCTTCATCGTTGCATAACCATTGTTCCCTTGTAAATATGTAAAACACTAAATAGTATAACAGAGTGACATTGTCTTTTATTTAGACAAAATATCTATTTCAAATGTAGCCACTGTGACTAGACCAAAGCAACGTAACACATTTTCTTTTTTTGTGGCATTTTTCTCATCCTTTTGTGTGCATTTTTTTTAATGTTTACTTACATTGTGTCTTCAGTAATTCACAAAGTATTTAGTTGTCCATGTATATTTTTATGTGTACATTTCTTGTACAAATGACTGTGTTTTTTAATTAAAGAACAAGTTGTCACACGTAAAAGTTACTGTTGAACTTTTTTTACCTGAAACATGAAATGAAAGCAGTATTTTGAATGAGCTTTTATTGTTTATGTTAACTCAATAGATGTGTTCAATTTCATCTTTGAATTGAATTGCATGTCTGAATCAAAACGTTTTAACTTTCGCTTTTTTAGCACATTTGTATGTATTTCTCCCCATTAGCCATCTGCATAAGTAAGGCACTACGCACACTGTATTCCAGTTACCTTGCTGCCCATATCACCTCTACCCGACTTTAATTTAAACCATACCACTGGCCTTCATGTCCTGCATTTCTCATTGACATGTTTTTCCAACTCCTCCACATGTCTGCATAAGCTCAGTCCACAGCGGGGTGTAATTAAGCCTCTAAAGTGGCGGATTGCTCCAGAGCACAAGCACTTTTGCCAGAAAAACGGCGCAAAAATACTGAGCAGCAATTCGTAATAATCCCTCCTGACATCCACTAAACCCAAACTATCAGTTTTGACATAATACAGGGTTTTAATCTGTGTATAAATCTATAAATCTCATAACGCAGGCTGGGGTAATCTCTCTCTGGCAGGCCTGTGGGACGGAGATGCTCCAGCTGAAAAACACAGACCACTATCAGACTTAGAGGTCACGGCAGGGTTGCCAGGAGTCAAACAATGGCGCAATTTCAACCAAGGAGGAGTTCATGAATTCAATTATCACAAAACTGTATTACTTAGTGTTTGTCTAGTTGATGTGCAATGTATGTATTAAGTCAAATGTTTGCTAAAAACACTAAGAATGTTAAAAAACGTACATTACATTTGCAGTGCACTTAATTACATTGTAGCAAAATGGATCTTATCGGTGTCCTGATAAATAAACTGCTGTAGCAGTGGTAACAACCTTCTCTCCACCTTTTATTTGACATATTTACTGTCATAACTCTGCCTTTCATAGGACACATGCTTCTGTGTATCCGTTCCCCTCCACAGTGACCGGAGATCTAGCTGTCCCATATTTCTTCTTCTGGAGTGAATCCTGGATTCATTCACTAGCGCAGGACTTGCAGGTTTTGTGTCCTCATGCCTGAACATCAGTTTGACTGTAAGGCACACAGAGGTTAGTCCGCAGGTCTCCTGGGGCTGCTGGGGACCTTTGGGACCTTGACCATAAAAACCATCGGGTCTTTGGCCTTGTTACTGAACGCTCTGCGAATAACGTCCACCGCGTGCTGATGAGTCACCCCCTGAAGACTCTCGCCGTCCACGGACAACAGCTCATATCCTGCCTGCAAATGCAAACACAAGGTAAAATGTTTAACATGCAATACTGTCAACAAAGGGTAAGAATTATTATTATTTAAATTGCATGATGACATAAAGTATATCTTTGTATTTTATCCTTTCCCCTTGTTTCTCTTTTTCCTTGGCGATCTGTCCCTCATGGACAGTTTCCATAAATCTGCAGTGATTGTGTCCCTTAGCGGGAACCTGATTTATTTTGAGAGAATTGGGGCCCTCCTGTTTGTTTAATATATTCACACTGAAGGCCGTCACTAGTGCACATATAAAGTTTCCCCTTCAGCACAAGGTTGTTGAAAAAAAAGAACAAGCACTTACACAACCACACACACAAACACACACACATTTGTGACAGTTTGCTCAATGCTTCCTGCAGGATGCGAGAAGAGAGTGATATAACTGTGGAGGCCTGAGGCGAGGAACTTCCCCCGATGTCATCTGGGTTTGACGAGGATGCACCTGCCTCGTGTGCTCAACCTCAGTGAAGGTTAGAAACACATAACACAGAAACACGCAAGGCCAATGGCCATTGTTGTATTTTCACCGATCACGTCTTCTTTCCCTTTCCCTTTTCCTTTCCAGTGATTAGACACAAAGAGGTTTGTTTTTCTTTCATTCTGCACCTGCCCGTTAGATCTATTATGGGTCAAACATATTTGTTTAGGAGGAGGCTGGGCATGTGTTTGTTCAGACAGGTTTTTTCACAACTCATCAGACAGCCGTGTGTTAACCAAAACCTTAGAGCCTTCCGTGAGGACAGCATCAAAAGATTTAGATTCATTTAACCAAAGAGGAGATTAAAAGTGCTTTTTCCCATTTTTGAAAAGTAATTTATTTGAATTAAATAGATCGCAAACTAATCTGCCCTATCCTCTTTACGGCCATTTATGGAGCCCATTTATGAGGTTTCCTCTTAGCCAATGGACGTCACGGTCCAAAAATAACACGGCCTGTAAAAACTACTACAGTTGCTTGGACGGATCAGTGAATCGTTCATAATGTGGTTTTCCAGGCCGTTATAAATAAATTCAACTAGATTATTCAGTTTAGGAGAGGTGAAGTTCTGGCTTTTTGTATTATGTATTATAAGTAAAATCTCTATAGATGAGTAAACATATCCCTACACTAACAGTTGTGGGGCATCTCATTGTAGATGCTGAAATTATAAGTAAATCTACCGAAATCCATATTCTCTCACTTAGCTCAAATGCTATCAAGCCAGACCTTTGCTCAGGTTTTAAGATATTTGTCCCTAAACACTTGCTAAATGCGACTAAAATACTGTTTTTGTTTACCATTCAGCCTGACACATGTTGTGTGTTAACCGCGCACTCTTACAGTACACAGTTCAATAAAGGCACGTGAGACACTCATGTCCAGATTTCCAGCTGACAAGAGCAGCTGGCACTGTCAAACAAACAGGAAATGATGTGTGCACATAACCACACATGTAGACACTCTTACACACTCACTCATTCTTCACTGATTGTATGTTATCATGCAGGTCTAAGGAGAAAGGATGCCCCTCGTCTCTCTGGAGAGAAGGGGGATTTTGAACTGAGCCAGCGAGCTGATTGGTGCGCTGACGTGCCTCATTGTGAGGTGTGAGCTGGAGACAACAGAAAACAGTAGCAACAACGTCTCTGGTTATGATAGCAGCAATATGTGGGTCATTACCAACTTTGATCCTCACTGAAATATATCCACAGCTATTGAGAAATAACACGAGATTTAGTAAAGCTATTTGTGGTTCCCAGAAGATGAATCCACTTATTATCCACTTTCTCTAGTGTCACCAGCAGGTCACGCTTATCCTTCACTTATTCCCTTTAATAACTAAACTATAATTAGTCATGATATCTACTTTACTTTCTGTTCGTCTTGTCAGAGATTAAGTGCACAACATGTGTCTGTGTATTAGGTGAGTGCAGTCAGGGACAGTACAAAGGAAGTTCTTTGAATATGAAAGGATGGACAGATACTGGATCCCCCTTATGTTTCTCAATCTAATCAGGCATTAGACCTGAGTAGTGATAGCATCTTAATGCAAGTGTTGTTTGGCTCTAGTCAAGAATTAGCCTGTGGTTAGCTGTAGTGAATGAGTGTGTGTATCAGGTGTG